GGCGCGCGCGCACACACACACACGCTCACGCACGACACACACACACACACACACACACACACACACACACACACACACACACACGCGCGCGCGCGCGCGCGCGCGCGTGTACTTACGGCACGTGACGAGCGTGGGACAGCACTCCCCCGGTGCCCGGCTCGCCACACACGATGGGTGCGGTAGGCGCGGGTAGGCACACGCCACCGCCGCACACACCGTCTCACCAAAGTCACACACGCAATGAATACAGGGATCAGAGGTCGGTATGCGCTCTCCTTCCGCATACACGCCACCTGTCGGCTGCTGACAACCTGCGGACGAAGCGATTAAATACATATAGAAGAAAGAAGCAATTAAAAAAATATAGAGGAAAAAAACGAATGAAAGAAATATAGAAAAAATAAATAATTAAAAAAATATAGAAGTAAGAAATAACTAAAGAAATGTAGAAGAACGAAACAATTAAAGAAATATAGAAGAATGAAATACTACTACTAGTACTACTAGTAGTAAGTACGTATAGCAACAGGGCGCAATAAAGAATTTGATTTTATGAATAAACCGTGCACTATATCTGGCGATGCGCGTTGAGATGTTGTAGCTTTATATGACATGACAGATTGATAAGGGCAGCTTGTGATCACACACGCTGCGGGTGCAGCTGTGATCACATGTGCTACTCGCTCGCCTCTCCTGTCACCCAAGTCGCGATGATGAATCGTGTCTCGACTAGCAGCGAAAAGGTCGCAGAGGTTGATATTAGGGCGAGAAGTATGATGTATGCGCCGCATTGATTGGCAGGGAAGGTTCTCCACAGCAGCAGCAGCAGCAGCAACAGCAGCCACAGCAGCAGCAGTAGCAGCAGAAGCAGCAGCAGTAGGAACAGCAGCAACAGCAGCAGCAGCAGCAGCAGCAGCAGCAGCAGTTGCAGCAGCAGCAGCAGTAGCAACAGCAGCAGCAGCAGAAGCAGCAGCAGTAGCAACAGCAGCAACAGCAGCAGCAGCAGCAGTTGCAGCAGCAGCAGCAGTAGCAACAGCAGCAGCAGCAGAAGCAGCAGCAGTAGCAACAGCAGCAACAGCAGCAGCAGCAGCAGTTGCAGCAGCAGCAGCAGTAGCAACAGCAGCAGCAGCAGAAGCAGCAGCAGTAGCAACAGCAGCAACAGCAGCAGCAGCAGCAGTTGCAGCAGCAGCAGCAGTAGCAACAGCAGCAGCAGCAGAAGCAGCAGCAGTAGCAACAGCAGCAACAGCAGCAGCAGCAGCAGTTGCAGCAGCAGCAGCAGTAGCAACAGCAGCAGCAGCAGAAGCAGCAGCAGTAGCAACAGCAGCAACAGCAGCAGCAGCAGCAGTTGCAGCAGCAACAGCAGCAGCAG